GGGTGATCCAACAAACTGTGGCTGGATCTGTTTAGAGGAGCAGTACGATGCCTGGTTTCGGAAGCAAGCAAAGGAGAAGCAGATGCAGATCCTATCGCCCCTTGATTCAGTTGGTGGAGATGTTATTGATGATTTGAAGCAGCAGCTTGGTGACGTGAAGCAAATACTAGACAGTGTAGTCTCTAAACTTTGGAAATTGATGATGCAAATTGGAGACAGACCTACAGTTGATCATAGTCCAGTTAGTGATCCTAGTCGTATTAGTAATGCAAGGGAGGAATTGGGTAATAGAAAAATGCAGATTGTGATGGATGTATCTGTTGTGGTAGGTGTCCTTGTTGGTCTACTATTAGGTGTAGTTGTTGCCTAGATGATGAAGTGGTTGTAATGTAGTTTCTTTGTACTGACAATGAATGAAAATGGATGGATGAATGTTGCCCAAATTTGTTTCTTTGTTGCCTGAATTTGATGAGTAGTGTGCTATGCATTTCTGTATGAAATTAGGAAAAAATTCGAGCAGCATCTTGTGTTGATTTTTGAAACATTTTAATGCCCAGATGGCACATGACAGGAGAGTACCAAACACATGTCCAGATAACAATTGTGACAATAGAGTATAGTTGAAACAACATTTCATAACCAAGTTTGCATTGAATATCCATACAAAGTAGACTAACTGCAACATATGAGAAAGTTGGCAAGTTCAAGTGCCACATTACTTACTACAGTTCACTAGCATGACACAGAAGTGGCACATTACATATTGTTCACTAGCAGGCCATGTTACAGACTACAGTTCACTAGCAGGCTTCATTACAGACTGATCAAAAGCAGGCCACATTACAGAGTACAGTAAGAAGGCCACAAAGTTCACAAAAGCTGTTGATGTTGTCCATCAAGCATTGGAGAATCTAGCCATCAAGGATTAGTCGGTTATGGAGCATCAAAGACCAGTTGCCTGATGCTGCTGACAACAGTTGTTAGTGGAGCAGCTGCTACCTTCTTTATCTTCTTTTTTATGGGAGTCTTCTTCTTGTTTGTACTAATCTTCTTCTGAAACTTCTTCTTCACCTAGGAAGGTCCAGCATCATCTTCTATTGGCCTCTTCCTGTTTTGCAAACACAATAGTAGCTTTGTTAGTTTTGGCAAGTGACAAGTTGGAGCAAAATGGCAAACACAGAAGTAGTTGTAATACCTTTTTGAAGACCCTTGTCCTCTCTCTCCATCTTCTCCTAGCTCTGCCTCCTTACAGATCTTGGCAAAATGCCCAAAGTCACCACATCTTTTGCACCTTACCTTCTTCTTTGTGTCTCTCTTCTCCAGGCACCCTCTAATTCTAACAACCCTTGGTCTGCCTGCTCTTCTTTCCAGCAGTGAAGGGTACACTTTGAAGCCAAGTTTGACAACAAGACACTGTGATCTATCTGGGATAGGCTCAACCCTGTCTTCATAAGCTGCCCTAAATCTTGCCACTAAATAGTACTCATGCACATAATCTTGAATTTTGATCCCTCTGTTTGAAAGTATCCATGTCAAAGCATGCTTGCAGGGCTTTCTAGTCACCTGCCACTCCCTACAGGAACAATTGTGGTTCTGCAGGTCCACAGTGTGCCTCTTCTGATTGTTCCACTCATCCAGGATAGTCACTTCAGCAATATCATCATCACTGACTTTGACCTTGACCACCTTGATATTTTTGCTGATCAGGTTCAGATCCTTTATCACATTTGGGAGGATTCCATCCTCCCACTTCCTATCAACCTTCTTTCTAAAACATCTCTTCTCCATTATAAGCTCCCTAATTCTGTCCACTAGTTCATGTACCAATAAACCTTTGAACTGCTTCACCTGTGCATTGAAGCTTTCTGACACATTGTTGGTCAAATAATCACACTTGCTGTTTTCTGAGAACCCACACCTGTACCGTATCCTATTGTGATGAGTCTCAAGGTACTCTACAGTTCTGGGGCAAATTCAAAAATCTTCTTCATGTGCCACTGGAAGAGGCCTTGAGTGTAGCTTCTAGCAGCAGGATAAAGATGATATGTGAATACATCACCAGAATAGTACTTCATAAAATTGTTGTACAAATGTCTCATACATTCCCTATTCTCAGCTGTTGGAAACACGGCTCCCACTGCTTTCTCCAGGCCTTTGCATGCATCTGAACAAATTATAAGATTTGGTACATCACCAATGGCTCTGGAAAGTTGCTGCAAGAACCACTTCTAGTTGTCTTCGGTTTCTGAGTCAAAAATGCCATATGCTACATGATACAACCAGTTATGTCCATCAACACCGGTTGCTAAAGCTAGCTGTCCTCTATACTTACCATTCAGACTTGATGCATCTATACCCAGAAATGGTCTACATCCAGCCAGAAAACCATCCACACAAGGCTTGAGAGCAATAAAAATCATCTTAAACCTATTCTTCTTACCAACCTTCTCAAGCTCTATCTCTATTAAGCTACTAGGAGACGCCTTTTAAATCTGGGCAGCCCAATTGAATAACAATTGAAAACTTTTCTCATATTTACCATGAATTTGTTCTAATGCTACCTTCATACCTGACCAAGCCTTTGAATACTTCAGCTTAATGCCATACTCACCTTCCAACTTATCCTTGCAATCACCTGGACCTTTTGTTGGATTTTTGTTGAGCCAATCTCCCAACCTGTCTGCACACCAGTCCTGTGTTGCCATCTTTCCTTCTCTAAGTTTTGTACTTGGACAATTATGCTCTGTTGGCAGTACTTTGATCTACACATACAAAACAAAGTCAGGTGAAGCAAACAAAAAAAACAAATGAACTAGTGCACAGCTACTTACCTGTATTGTCTTGCAGTCATGTATCCAAGATGCATGAATGAGCCAAGGACATCCCTCAGCTTTGCACCTAGCAATAAATCTTGTTGGGTATGTTTTCAGATCAGCTAACTCAAAGCCTTTAGTCATAGCATAATGCCTGATAGCTTTCCTGAATGCTACAATATCAGGAAATAACTCCCCCTTCACAATCTTGGGATTTTCTGGGTCATGGATGACATGTATCTCTTCAGGGTCTGCATCAGTGACCTCTGCCTCAACATGAAAAGGATCAGCATTATCATTTTTAGCATCATGAGAATAAGGTGGAGGTGAATTACTATGAGGTTGTGAGCTGCTAGGTGGCTATGTAGGTGGTATTGGCATGTACATCCCCTATTCGTCATAACCCACATACTCTTCAGGATTATCAAACATATCTGGCTCCCTGTCAGGCTCAAGTTCAGGCTCAACTTTAGCCTCCATGGGAACCTCTAGTGCATCATCTGCCTTAGATGTAGGCTGGTTAACATTACTATCAGCGGGGTTTGGGTTGCTAGTGCAAATATCAGGAGGAATCACACATAAAGGCTCTAGTGCAGCAAATTCATCAACAGGGCACATAGATTTGTCAAACACTCCTGCAACAATCTGGCAACTCATCTGCTCCTTATACATCTCAAACATGTCATTCATCTAGAACTGGTTTTCTAGTCTGACATCTTCACACACCCTTTTGTCAAAGAACCAAACAACAGGACACTGAGTAGGAGACCATTTGACAGCATTGCTCAAGCTAGTCATCAGTAAATCAAAGGAAAACGAGCCTATCTCCACATCTCACTTAATCACAGAGCCCTTTGTGTAAGCTTTCATACCCAAAGAGTCTGTCGTACAGAATGCTTCCACTTTAATCTCTAGCGAAAACAATGAAACCCTAGCATCAACCAAATCACATCAAAATCTACACTTCACTAGCACCAATGCATAAATCGAGGCCTAATCTACTCGGTTGTGTGCACAGCAAGGAGAGAAAAGTACCTTTTGTTGCCGTCCTCCATCCGTGGTGACCCGCGTAGGCCCGCGTCTGCCATTGACCCACACACTACTCCATCGCCTCCCTTCGACGGACCCCCTTGCGTCGTCTCCTTAGCCTGCTGCGCCGCCGTCGGGTTCGTCGCCGCCACCAGGGCCTTGTTAGGTTCCTTGGTTTGGGGAGAGATAGAGAGAGCGAGAGTGACAGAGAGGGGAAGACGGCGATATTCATCGCGCCGTTTAGATGAAGATGGGAGATGGACGGATACGATCGACCGTATGCCACGTAACCCTGCAAGTGGGCCCAAACGTTTGTCTCGCGCACAGAATGGCATATTTCAGAGTATGTCAAAATTGGAATGGCACGCTTCCATGGTATATTTCAGATCTTCAAGAATTGTAATGGCACCAATCAAAAAACCCTTTTTTCTTTTTCTTTTTTTGGTAGCTAGCAAGGTTCGAACCTGGATCGTCGTGGGTGGGTTTGCGGATGCCACGCGTTGAAGCACGCGCGTGTGCGTTGAAGTGCGAGGGCGAGGGGTGAGAAGGCAGGATGAGAAGCCTGGCATCCCACATTGAATCGTGGCCATCAAATTTTATTAAGATGTTTTATTAGTCCTTGATTTTAATGAAGACAAATTTCTAAGTGCATAATGGTTTGAGGCTCTCAGTGAAGGACGTTTTCTTTAGGAGACCTAGTATAATTTTAATTAGTCCATTATAGTAAAGATTTACTACAAATTTTATTACACTTAAACTAGTTTGATCAACACATATCGTGTAATTGCATTTTTTTGACCAATTATACTTTCTCCATATACCACCTCATTTCTCTATCTACAACTAAAAAGACCCAGAGGTCATCATCACCGCTCCCTAATCACCCCCCTCGCGCGCTAATACCCCGCCTTGATCGCTAATCCCGTCCTCAGATAACCCACCGCCCGACCAAAAAAAAAAGGTCCCCAGATAACCCACCGCCCAATCAAAGAACCGCCCAATCAAAAAATAATAATAATAACCCACCGCACGCTAATCCCCCGCCCCAAGCGCTTATCCCCTGCCCCGAGATAACCCACCCAACAAATAGCCATATATCCGCTCCAATCACGCGCACGATCCCTGAACCAATCACTCACATTATACCGCGGCCTCCAATCACGCACATGCTCCACTCTCGCACACTAGGCCGCCAACGGAGAGCCGAGAAGCACAGCTCGACCTCGCTATTGTTGCTTGCGCCGACGCCGTCGTCCTCGCCCGCGCCGTTGTCCTCGCCCCGCCCCGATCCGCGGCAGACGGAGCGCCGACAAGGAGAAGGACCACCGAGACCAGAGGACGCGCCTTCTTCACTCCACCGTCGACTTGGGAGTCGTGCGACGTCAGCAGCGAGCGATCTACTCCAAGCCACCGCGCCGTCCCGTGGCCACTCAACGTCAGCAGCGATCTGCTACTCCAAGCCGCCGCCGCCTGTCTGGCGCTGTCGCCGTGGCCACCAGACACCGACGGCAATCTGCTTCTCCTGCCCTCGCCGCCTCGCTCGTGATCTGCTTCTCGGTCAGACTGTACACAAGGCACAACAAGTCACGGGTAAGTGATGCTTAAAAAATTGCCCTAATCCTCTGTCTATATAGACTGTAGTAATTGTAGTTCTAATGCACGATTGAACCTTTACTTTGGAAACAAGAACAGAGAACCGTGTGTGGCTCCCCTTACGTATTTATGACCAGTACAGAACTCTAGCTCGACTCAGTCACCAATTAATCATGTGCAGCATTTATCTACAATCAATCAATCCATGAGGGTGAAAGGCGGGCCTAGTGCAAGCGGTACAGTCTTACCGCCTATGACTGGAAGGTCCCAGGTTCGAGTCGCGGTCTCCTCGCATTGCACAGGCGAGGGTAAGGCTTGCCACTGACACCCTTCCCCAGACCCCGCACAGAGCGGGAGCTCTCTGCACTGGGTACGCCCAATCAATCCATGAGGGTGATCCTATCTTACACTAACTTTCTATGCAAAGGAAATCCTAAAATCTTGACTCATGTGCAAAGGGAAATCCTACTTTGTTATGAAATGTCATTGTAGCAACTACTATCCCCTGATCCACTAATGTTTTTATGCCTATCGTACTCCAATATAAAATGATAACAAAAGATCAGTATCTGTTCAAATGATAACAAATGATCAGTATCTGTTCAAAAATTCCAGTCTACAGGAAAGGGAGGGTTGCAAGAGTATTATGCTATAGCAAAAAAGGCACCATACTAATAAGAATCATCAGATATTAGTAGCCCAAGCATTATAAGATCAGCAGCAATGCTTAGTGTTAGCGTCTGCAGATGCATAGTTCCTATTTAATTTCATCATACTATTTGCTTGTAAAAAGAGAATTGTTATGACAACCAACCTGGTAGGGCACAAAAGTTGGCTGCTAACATCCTCTTGATGGCTGTGCTCTTGGTCCTCTAGCTCCTTGTCGCTGCATTCTGTTTTCTGTTAGTTGATGGCTTGCAGCTTGCTACAGATGGACACACGCAGAGGACCATGAGTTGAGGTCTCAGTCAGGCTCAGCAGCTCAGGCCTCCTTTTAATTTCTTTGTACTACAAAATTTGGCATGCTTCGCGGCGCCCTACCAGGCAATATCGTAATATTATTACTTAGTGATAGGAGAACAGGGATACATCACAAATTTACAATTAAGGCAAAATCCTTCGGTTAATATAGAAAATGCATAATTAGAACACACTACAAACTCAAAAAATAAAATAATGTTTCATTAATAACTCAAACAAGATTTGGCATTGTTACAAATAGATATCTCAATGTTCCAAAAATCATTTTTCACATAACTCTGCAACCACCAAAGGTAGTATGTCAATATAAACTGGGCAATTGCATCACAGTTCATTAAGAAAAGAGGTATATGCATCATAGGCCCTTAAACTTGTCTCGTGGTGCCACTTAGGTCCACAAACTCTCTAATCGTACTTCTAGCACTTTAATATTGTTTAAGTATACCACTTAGATCCATAACTCATCGGATCAAGGTTTTTGCCGACGTAACGGGGTCAGAGCGCACGTGAGCCGCGCATGAGCCTAATTTGGAACGTCCAAATTAGCAGAGAGGCCCCCAGTTCTTTTCATATCCTCCATTTCCCCTTCCTTCACCTCTTCCCTTCTCTGTCTGTCTCTCTGCCTCCGCACTCCGCAGACGGCACGGAGACCAAACTGCCTCGCACACGTCTGGAGAGCATTGACCTGCCGCTCTTGCGAGCATCGATTGGTGCGTGCGCAGGACGCAGCAATGGCGCCGCGCGGACTCACTCGCCCACGTACTACGTGCACGCGTCGGGGCAGCATAAAATACTGGGCCGCAGCCGCTCTAAATGCTGGCGTAACTCGCGCACTGTAGACGCCACATGGTAACGGTCGGGCCTGGGTGGAGTACGTACCTTGGAGTAGCCGTTGTTCATGTCCTGCACGATGCAGCCGGTGGGGAGCAGGTGGCAGCCCATGTACCCAGTGGCGCCGCCGCCGTTCTGCGCGTGGTGGTGGTGGCTGTGGTGGTTGCCGCCGTCGGGGCGAAGGATGGCGTCCACCGAGACGTCGACCACGGCCCACAGCCCCTCGGCGTGCTGCTTGCAGAACCGAAGGAAGAGCACCTCACGGATCGGCACTAGCGGCGACAGCACCTGCAGCTCCGCGTGCATCTGCATGCATCGATCCCAGGAGCACGTACGTACGTCGTCACGTCGCGTACGCGATTGAGCAGCCGTATAGTATATTACTAGTATAGGCGTGTGCGTGCGAGAGCATGGCGGCACGAGACGAATGGGATGACTCACCAGCTGGATCGTGCCAGTGGCAGCGGCGCGGAATGGAACAACACGTACGTAGTATAGGCCATTAACATGGAGCAGATGGCTCCTCAGGTGCGTACCGCGTCCATGAGGCTGTCTACGAGGTCCACGCTGCTGGTTATGGCGATGCCGGCCTCGCGGGTAGCCTCGGAGACGTAGCCGGCGGGGCTCGGCCCGAACACCACCCTGGCGAACGCCAGTGGTACTCGTCGAAGTTGACAGTCTCCAGGCCGCCGCCGCCGTCGGGGCTGCGGAGCCAGAGCGGCTCGTCCATCTGCGCCACTTTCATGAGCTCCACCATTGCGGCGAGCCCCAGCTCGAGGAGGACGGTGCGGTCGATGCCGTCGGCCGCGCCGTGCATCGCGCCGTCGAGGGCGCCGATGCCCACGGGCAGGCACATGGCCGCCGCCGAACCCACAGGGCCCGGCAGGCCGCCGGCGCCCATTAGGTCGGTGAGGGGCTGCAGCGCGGACGCGCCGAGGGGGCCGAGCCAGAACCCGCCGTTGGTGCCGACGCCGAGCTCGAGGCCGGAGCACCCTTGCAGGGCCGACATGGAGCTGCCAGAGGAGATTGGGCGGCCGAGGAACTTGCCGACGAGGGCGCAGACGCGGTCCAGCTCGTCCTTGAGCCGCGCGTTCTCTATGCGGAGGTGCTGTTCCTCCAGCGACACCTCCCCGAGCACGGCCCGAACTCCAAGCCGACGCCGCTGCCCGAACTCCAAGAACTGGGGGGCCTCTCTGCTAATTTGGACGTCCCAAACCAGGCTCGCGCGCGGCTCACGTGCGCTCTGCCCCCGCCACGTCGGCAAAAACCTTGATCCGATGAGTTATGGACCTAAATGACATACTTAAACAATATTAGGATGTCAGAAGTACGATTAGAGAGTTTGTGGACATAAGTGGCACCACGAGACAAGTTCAAGGGCGTACGATGCATATACCTCTTAAGAAAAAAGCAGTCAACTACATGGTTTGGCAACGTTAGGTGAATTGGCAATTGCATCACAGCTCGTGAAGGGCAGCAGCAACATTAGGCCCCAAATACCAAGCATCCTTCTGTGGCACATCCACCAGCATCGCACCTCCCTGGATTTAGAGCAGAGCCATTAAAATGCAGTCTAAATTGAACAGACTGCTAATGAAAGAAAGAAAGCACAGGTTTTTTTTAGGTCCTACATCAGGATTCAGGAACACATTCAAAGACATGGATCATAGCACTGATGTTACCAGTGACTGCAGTCAACGCCTCCATCATCATCTTAGCAAGTACCTGAAGCATCTAGAAATTGGAAGCAAGCTATGGTCAAGAACACAAGTGCACACATGAATCTCGGGAATTATAGCATCACACTGATCCTATCACTGAACCTATCAAGGAAGTAGCTGATGAAATAAAAAAGGGTCATAGACTGCATTCTAACTTCAAGGTGATCAGCACAAGGAACTCCATCTTCCAATAGTCCTTGCTTCAAACACAAACCTCACATCACAGGCCTATCGTACATCAACCACATTTGAGTAACTTCATCTACCAATTAGGAAACAACTATTTGAGATCACTATGCTTTATTTTTCCCCCCACCTGAAGGTCCACAGAGAAGAGGGACCACAGTCCCCTCCATCTTGACAGCAATATATAGGCAAGCAATTGACAAGAACTGTTGTAGCCAAGGCATGTCATGCTCACGCTACAACAACACATACAAAAATAATAGAATGTGTGCATCCATCACTAAGAGATTTAACAGGACACAGTAAGCAACCAACCAATGTACATTCAGATTCTTACAATCTTACTGCGAGATTATATGATGAGAGGAAGCTATGCATGTAATCCACATCATAGCAAGGTAAAGACTAAGTGGATCAAAATTGTAATAGGAATGGACCTGCTGCCCACGTGAGAGAAGACAAAATCAGCAGCTCGTTAGTTTCTATTTAAAGAAAAAATTTCTACTACTACTACATTAAAAAGCCCAGCGGGCGGCAGGCTCACTGCTGCTTGGCGGTCGAATTAGCCACAAGCCCAAATTGGGTCACGCAAAGTCAGAGACGATATTAAGCAACAACTAACTTCCTAAAAACTAAAATAATGTGTCGATAAAAATGAATAAAATTCAAGAACCAATAAATTCTTGAGCTTTTTGTTTACCTTGCTCCAACCTTCCCGCGTAGCACTCCTGAGGTAGGTGGCTCATCTTATTCTCCAACAGCACCCGCACGGGCATGGCCTCATCTGTGTCCACATGGAACATGTTGCAGGCGGCGTCCATTAGGTAAGGCTACCCCCGCTCCCTCCAACAGTTCATCGCCATGGCCACCCAAGCCAAGGACCCAGCTACCCAGCTCCTATCCTCCCTCCTCTCGCCGCCTGATGTTGCTTTTTTTGCCACCAGATCGGCCATAGGTTGCTACTGTCGTTGGATCTGGCTCGCGACAGCCTCCACAACGTCGAGTGAGACTCGACAGCCTTGGATCTAGAAGTTGGGTCACCACCCTCGTCGCAGCATCTGCTGCGACAACCATATACCCCGCCTCCCTTCCACCCGCACCACCTCCTGTTCCTTAGTCGCAGATCTTGACGACGCAGTGGGAGAGGAGGCAGAGAGCGGGGAGACCGTCTCCTGTGGCGCTCACCTCGCCGGACCAACGTGTCCCACCGCTGTCCGCCGAAAGAGGAGAGAGGGGATGGAGTCGGGTGAGAGAGAGACCGGGCGAGAGCGAGCGTCGAGATGGGATAAGCTTGTCCTTGAGTGAGGGGAGGGAACGGAGAACGGACGGAGCTGCCACGCTGCGGGTGGGCTCACGCCGAATCCGGGTCTACCGGTCAGAGCCCATGGAAGCCCACGAACAGACGCCGGGACACTCGCGCGACGCCCCCGCCCTTGCTACGTGTCCACTTGTCGAGCGTGCCACAGCCGCGTGAAATGCGGTGGTTTCCTAGAATTTACTGTAGGTTTTAATCAACTTGACTTGATGGTTCAGGTCAACGTTTCATCAGATTGGAGAAACGTCACTCATTTTGTTGAATATCATTTATAAAGTTTCATAATTTTTAGAACGCATTTAAATATATATAAATATTTACTTATATGTGTTTGATTGTCTGTCCCGGTTGTTTACGCGTTTTAGCGAACGAGCAAGAGTGAGTCAAATCATAGTGGGATTTATAAAAAGCCAATCGTTTTGCTGAATTTTGGCTGCTAATGCTTATGCTGTTTTATTGTGGAGGAAACGCTGTACGAAGAACATGGCGAAAAATCTTTAGGATTAAAAGACAAATACAATTAAAGTAACTGAAACTATATATTCACGAAGAATATAATAGATAAAAAGATTCTAACTTCATAAAAAAGGTAGTATCTCACTCATCCATACATATTTTTTTAAGATAGTCAACAATGCTTTAGCTCTAAGAATTAATAAACTTATATGCAGGATACTTTCATCTGCAGCTTCCATCTATATGCTTCAGCTGCAAGAAGTCAGATGTCGCAATTTTGACTTAAAAAATCTTCTAGATAATCTTTGATCGGTGATCGCATCAGCTTGGTTTATATGATGGACTAAAGCCACGTATTTATATGATGAGTATAACATACATTGTTTTAAAGTTTTGTGAAAGATTTTTTAAGACACACAATGACCTGTGTGCATGATGGTATGGAGAGGCGGCGGAACCTATTCGAGGATTTATTTACACACGAAAGAAATGAATATCGAAGATTTCTTCCTGCCGATATAAAACATTATCTCAGCGCATCACGGAAAAATCTATACAGTAGAGTTTGTGAGCCTACGACATCGCTCTCAGTGACTTTGTTAATTTTACTAACTTTGCTTTTTTGATTAGATATCACTTTAATATCGGTATTTAATTTCACAGTACTATTATCTTATCATGCGTTGCGTGTGTTTTTAATATAAAAGTTTAACTGTCCCGTAGCCGCGCACCAACATGAACCTTATATATATATATATATATATATATATATATATATATATATATATATATATATATATATATATATATAAAAGACGTTCGGGAACCTTTCTTTTTTGCCAAATTAATTACGCACAAGTCGTCGTACCCCTCCGTGTTCATTTTGCCTCTTATCAGCTCGCTCAGGCGCGACCCGCAACAGAGGCGCGGCCGCGACGGATCGACTCCTCCCTCCACAACCAGGATCGGCGGCCTCTCGGCCGCGACGAGGCGAACGGGTCCGGCGGCCGCTCTACCACGACCGGATCTGACGGGCTCTCGACCGCGACGAGGCGACCGCAACAAGATCCGGCAGCCGCTCCTCCGGTGACCGCGACGGGTCCGGCGGCCGCTCCTCCGTCCTCTGCCGCGACGAGGTGACCATTGGAGCTCCTCCAAGAAGAAGACGTAAGGAAAAATCTCTCTTTTTCGTTTTTTCTCTTGCTCTAGCCCCGCGAACACGCGACGCCTGCTGCTCCTTTTTTTTGTTGGGGACTCACATCCTTCCTCGCAATCGAGCCGGTTGAATTGCTACCCTCTTTGGATTAAGCTGGTGTAGACCACTCTAGTGTACTGCATCGACATGGTCTCTTCGGTTAATTAGTTTGTGGGTGCTATATGCATGCTACACAAGCTAGCAGGCAACCTTGCATTGAATCCCAGTTCTGGTTTTATTTTTTTTTATTGATTTGCAAATTGCAAAGGACTAACAGTGTCTGATCAATCGCAAAGGATTAGTTGGAGTACCCCAGTTCTGGGGACGGTTAGGACTCTGAATATTTCCTCACTTTTGTTGGTACTTTTTCCTGAATTTTGTCTAGTTTTTTTTTTTGATTGCCTCAACCTTCGAATAACAAGTTGCAGGATCTGAACTCATGCACCAACTCACATCATACAGCACATGCACACTGGAGCGAATGCCGTCCGAGCTATGGCTCGTTCCCTGAATCTTGTCTAGTTGGTGTAAGCAAGAGTACTTGTTTTCTCAGAGTGATTGTTTTCCTCCTTGCCTACCTACAAGAGCTCTTCTCCCTATAGATCCACCATGGATGGAAGCTCAATCCATCCATCAATTGCCTCAAGCAGAAAGGATCCAAAAACCGCTCTATTGTCTGTTCCCTTAAAATTCTAATGGTAACATTAAAAATCTAGTGCTCTATCGTCTGTTTTTTTTTTGAGGCCTTCCTGTCAATTTAGACTGCAGATTGGTGATGAAGCAACATAAGTTTGAATAACTACATGCTACTTGTATCTTGTCAAGAACTATCCACTGTCACATCTAATACTATCATGTCAATTGTCAACCTTTAAGATAGAATTGCAAAGATCCTACGTGCGCCAAACACTAGTTTATCATTCTGCCTAGTGCCACTTAGTACTCTCCATGTCCGACAGAGCAGAAAAGGACCATGAAAAGCCCCAAATACAGAATCAACAGTAGTCCTATCGAGCTGATTAACTACTTCACTCTCTCTATACTTTTGAGCAGTATGGGCTCGCTACTGTACAAATCACTCCATCTCCAGTAACCTCTCTTCATTCTCTGGCTCCAGTAACCTCTTGTATCCTGTTGAAGGAAACCATGTTATCGCTGAGAGAAGAAGACATTCAGTATAATAGATCATCATTTTGGAAAAAAGAAAAAAAATCAATGGTTGAATAATTACCGCATCTTTGGTCAGCCTGATAAGCTACACAGTAGTTGATGATTCATGACACCTGAAAAAATATCATGTCAACATACAAATAAACATCATATCAAGAGGAAGAAAAGTATAGTATGAACCGGTCATACCCTGTTATGTTGTGAGCACTCTTCTTTTCCAACAGAAAACACTTTAGAGGATTTCCATCATTACAGATCAGGCCACGCAAAGTACTGGTCAACAAGTAACATATTTAATTCCCACTTATAGACAGAAAGGTAACATTTGTTACAGTTTCAATTTCTGATTACTGACCTTATGAGTTTGGTAACACCAGAAGGAATTAGCAGGAGGAGTTTGACAATAGCATAAGGAACTATGAGTAACAGCCACACAATTAACTTGCCCAGTACAAGAAAAACCTGAAAAATTGTACCGTAGATTAATGCAACTGAACCGTAGCATTACTCATTTAAATAGTGTAAGAACAAATTTTTTGTCTTACCAGAGGGTCCTGAGAGCTGTAGGTCCAGTGGATTGTCACGGCAATTGACGAGATGAGCATTGAGTAGCCACATTCCTCTACATTGGAGTGAAAGCTTAGTGACGCCACATGAAATGTTGCCAGCATATAAATATATGCCGTCCATGCTCCTAGCCCTGCTGTAGCCAGTGCCATAGGAGTTGAGCTTGAAAAACTTGCAGCAGTCAGTCCATTCAACATTAGGACAAGGGAAACAACAAAGTAAATGCTGCCCCAAAAGATCCAAGTTGGATGCTGTGCCTGTATGTTACTAAGAACACCAGTTGCAGCTCCCCAGAACACAGATCCCAGACCATACAGGCAGATCTTCTGGTACCCCTCATACCTCTTGTCTAACTGAAAAGCGAACAAGTGTTATATTGAATGACATTTAGAAATTGCATCCTAAATCTTGTACTGTAAATACTATAGTGAACTTCTTACTGCATCTGAAGTCGTCTGCTTGTTATCCATCTCATAGTTCTTCTTGAATGTGTTCTGGCTGAAGAAGTCTCTCAACAAGAAGTTTTCTATACCTTCAAACATTGCAGCCATCTCTCTAAAATAATAATATTAATATTGTCAGATGCATGACTATTTCTAAACAAGCTGAAATTACGGATAAAGTGGAAACACGAACTGTAAAAACACCTGATAATCAAAATGAAAACGATTTAGCTCTCTTCCGACTGTTTAAAAAAACGGTATTTGACTGGTAATCTACCCTCGATAATTACCAAACTCAGTCAGCCCACAAGCCCACAATGGTACAGTCCCATCACCTTCACCCCTTGATCCCTGCATCTCTGCTGAGCATGCCCCAGCCGCTGCATCAGCCGAGCCCACTGAGCGCCCCCAGCCTTATGAGGGCACCTCACCCTCACAACTCCAGCGGTCCAACCCCCAAACCTAGCCGCCTCTAGCTCTAGTCTTCGACTCCACCACGCCTCGCCGTGACGTCGCCTGAGCTCCTCCCATGCTACTGGTGCTGGCCTGCTGGGTGCCCCCACATCCTCTCCCTCTGGCCGTCCTTGTCCTTCTTCAGTTGGACTTCTTCCCTGGCTCTAGCAGCAGGATGGTGGCATCGGTAAACGTCGGTAGCGGCCAGAGCTTCGTCTGGCAGGCTCATTATGCCTATGCCGTATCAGTTATTCACTGATTCATTTTCTGGGAACTGTGTAGTGTGTAGCAATAGCTGTGTAGGTGTAGAACCGTAGGCTTTATGTTTGTATATCACACCATACCACTGCTGCCAGGTGTTCAACCATTTCTGTTGTGAGTTGTGACCATATCGCTATACACCGCAGCAAAAAGATGAAATCGAAAGTGAAGTCAAAGAAATGCTCCAAAATGGAATTGTACAACATAGTTGTGGTCCATTCGCTTCCCCTGCCCTATTGGTCAAGAAAAAAGATGGTGAGTGGTGCATGTGCGTCGATTACAGGTGTCTCAATGCATTCACAGTGAATAACAAATTCCCAGTTCCAGTGTTTGACACCAAGCTTGATCATCATTCCGGATACCATTAGATAAAATCAAGGTTGGGGATGAGTTCAAAACAGCGTTCCAAACGCATAGCGGTCATTATGAGTATAAGGTGATGTCCTTTGGTCTTACAGGGGCTCCAGCTACATTCAGAGTTTCATGAACTTTGTGATAGGTCCTCTTCTTCATAAATGTGTGGTGGTTTTCTTAGATGATATTTTGGTGTACTGTAAGTCTATGACAGACCATGTGCAGCATCTACGGGAGGGTGTTTTTGTTGCTCAGGAAACACAAACTCTATTTAAAGTTGTCCAAATGTTCTTTTGCACAAGGCAGTTTGGAATTTCTGGGGCATGTGGTCAGCCTTCGGGGCATAGCTACAGACCCAACCAAAGTTCAAACTGTTCAAGATTGACCAACACCCACTTGCGTCAAGGATGTCCGTAGTTTCTTGGGCATGGCTGGCTACTACCAAAAATTTGTTCGCCATTTTGGAGTCATAAGCAAGCCTTTGACAAACCTACTGAAGAAGGGGGGACAGCTGAAACACAGGAGGCCTTTGTAACTGTAAAGTAGTCCTTACTTACAGCTCCAGTCCTGGATTGTGGAATTTTTCCAAGCAATTTGTGATTGAGACCGGTGCTAGTGATAAAGGTTTTGGGGCAGTTTTACTCCATGAAGGCTACCCTCTGGCTTAATATTAGTAAGGCTCTTGAATCTAAGAATTTGGGACTCTGTACATATGAGAAGGAATGCCTTGCCATTCTCTTTGCTGTCGACCATTGGCGGTCCTATCTGCAACATGCCGAGTTCCTCATCAAGACAGACCAAAAAGTTTAGCTCATTTGCATAATCAGCGCCTGCCAACTCCTTGGTAGCAGAAATCTTTCACTAAACTCTTAGGGCCTAGGTTAAAATTGTGTACAAGAAAGGACAGGACAATCAAGTGGTAGATACCCTGTCCCGTCGGCCAGGAATGGACTTGGATCCTCCTCATCTCTACTCAATACATTGGCCACATCCAGTCCAAACCGCTATGGCTTGATGACACGCTTCATGGTTATATGCTGGACCTTGAGGCTAGGCAACTCCTATCTCACCCGACAATGGGTGGTTCCAAGGAACATTATACACTCCAGGATGGCCTTATCAGATTCAAGAATGTGTGCAAGCTTGACAGTAGCCACCACATACATGAGTAATGTGTACAAGCTCCTTGCATTATTGCATTACTAAAATCAATCATCTCTGAACTCTGATTGTGACAAGATATTTACAAGTACTTTGTGACATGAGCTTTTTTGGTTGTCAAGTACTCAAACTGAATATGAGTAGTGCTTACTACCTCCAATCGGATGGGCAAATGGAGAGGGTGAACTAGTGTCTCGAGGCCTTCTTATGCTGTTTTGTGCAGGGGTGTACTAAACAGTGGGTTAAGTGGCCACATTTGGCTGAGTTTTGGTACAATACATGCCATCATGCTTCATTGAAGTACTCTATGGGCATGTTCCACAGCATTTTGTTTGGACGTTGCAAGCACTTGTAGCAGTTCAGATCTGGAGGAATGGTTGCAGGAGTAAAAATGTATGCAGGAGCTCGTGCAGCAGCACTTAAATTGAGCACAGCAAATAATGAAGACACAGGCGGATAAGAAACGTTATGAGCGGCACTTTAATGTTGGTGACCTAGTTTTTCTCAAGCTTCAACCTTATATGCAGAATTCATTGGTTGACCGCACTAATCTCAAATTAGCCTTCCGATATTTTGGACCCTATACCATCATCAAGAAGGTGAATGATGTGGCCTATGAGTTGCTCCTTCCGGCATCAAGTTCTATACATCCATTATTTCACATCTCCCAGCTCAAGCTGGCAGCATGAATCAGCAATCAGGTTCTATACATCCATTATTCCTGATCTCGATATCTGATTCCATATTCCTGTTGCATTTCTTGATCAATATCTTTGTTGGTAAGCTCAATGTGTAATTCCATAACTTTTGGTGCATTGGTCTTCATGGCTGGCTTCAATGGCTACTTGGTAGGACGAGGTGGCTATCAAAGAGCAATTCCCACTAACAACAGTTTGGGGGCAAGCTGGTTCACAAGAAGGAAGGGATGTCAGCCCAAGATGTTGCAGCGGCTACATCTACTGCTTCTGCACTAGAGCGCGCAAGGGAAGGAAGCGATCGCAGGAAAGGGCTGGGCGCCATCTGAAGCTATACCACGCGCACGAAGCGAACTGGTTTATAAGCCGTACTTTTTCAGCCAACGAACAGTATTTTTCTCTCACAATAAATCAGCCAACAGTACTTTCAGCCATGGCTTATCAGCCAAACGAACATACAGCGGAACATGGGTGGTGACTGGGCCTAATGCTTGGGCCAGGAAACAGAGGTCTCTGGAGCGTGAACTGTAGACAGTTTTGGAGAGGAAGGAGGCGTAAATAGGACAGGAAAAATAGTTAGGTAATAGATGGTGCTGTCCGGAGAAGGCGGCGAGACAGGCTTGTAATCAAATATTGTTGATTTTGCCTATTATCTAAACTACCATAGCTAGATCTTACATATTAGCCAGTGAGAACAGTCTGCATCTTGAGGTACAGCAACATGTAATTCATTTGAAGTACTAACACGTGCTGTAATTCCATTACAATTTGTTCCATTACAATTTGATGGCCGCGTGACAGGCTTGTAATCAGATGTTGATTTTGCTTATTATTTAAACTACCATAGCTAGATCTTACATATTTCTTTGCATATTTATATTGAGGTCTTGAAGCCAGTAAGAACAGTCTGCATCTTGAGGTACGTACAGTTATATTGATACGTACGTATTGCAGCAGCATGTAATTAATTTGAAGTACTAACACGTATTGCATCTTGAAGTACTAACAGCATGTAATCCTACATATAATCATCATCTCCGTTCTGCAACCCACCCCTAACCAGCCGACTCAACCCACCCGTGCTCGAGGAACCCTCTAACCCTCTGTTGTGCTCGAGGCAACCCCCTAACCCCTCCAACCCCTCCGTGCTCGTGGCGTGCCCGGAGTCCGCAACTGAAATGCTGACCGCGCGCGTTCCCGGTGTCCGCAACTGAAATGCTGACCGCGCGCGCGCGACCCAGTGGTGATCAATTACTGACCGCGCGCGACCGAATGGTGATCAATTACCACCCGCCGTGGAAACAATTCGCCGTGCAGTTACTTCGACAAACCAGCAACAGAACTCCTCCATTAATTCAGGCATGCACCAAACCCTTGACAACTCTAACCCTATCGGCACCCACTCCTGCCCGTGGCTAATTAGCGAGCGAAAATTCAGCGGGTGGAGGAGCAGCGGGCGGGTGGACGGAAGTTCAGTACCTCTATCCGCTCGAGGACGTCACGTCGTCGTCGTCGTCGTCGTCGTCCTCCTCCCCCTTCGTCGTCGGCGGGGCGGCCCGGACGTTCGCTCAGAGGTGGCGAGGCCAGAAAGCTAGAATAGAATGAGGCACCAGCGTCCAGCGCGAAGCGAGATTTTAAACGTCTTTTAGTTGGGACCCCGGGGCCGGGCGGCCGGCGATTGTGTCCGTCAGGCGATCGTCGGCAGTCACTTCTATGGGCCTAATATTCGCGGTCCCATAGCCAGCGAGAGTCTTTCTTACGAGGGATATATCATCCAGCGCCCTGATGGGCCTGGCTGGTGGCTGGGCCAGGAGCCCATAACCCGGCTGAGCTTTACTTCCGAATCCGGGCGGCGGCGACTCCCCGCCCGAGGAGGAGGGCTTGGCCGGTCCGGCGGGCGTGGCGGTGAGGCAGCTCCCGTCCTCGCCGGCTGGTGCTTCCCGCATCGCGCCGCACCCGCCTCCCGCCCGCTCGTTGGCTGTCGAGGAACGCCATGGCTTGGCAGTCGCTTTAGCCGCCAGATGCGACGGGGAGGCGGCCATGACTGTCCGTCCAGCCCTCCCCTGTCCTTTTCATCTGTTCTTTTTCTTTGTAAAAAGCAGGAGAACCTTTTATCAAAGCAAAGAAATTCTTCTGGTTGTGATCTTGTGGATGTTAACACAGTAGCTCGTACATGATGTTATG